GGGTTCTTGGACTACTTTGTGCCGGGATAATCTAGGATGTGTCCCGGAAAGTTTTATCGGAGGTAAGATACCGTTAAATTGGTTAGATGCCAATTTTCAGGAGTTGAGCGCAGACGCCTCTAAGGATGAAATTAAGATGTATGCACGAGAATGCATATTGTAGTTGATAGGAGAGTTGCTGATGCCAGACAAATCGCACAACTTAGTTCACTGCATGTGGTTGCGACATCTTAGCGACTTTCGTCTGGTCGGATCATTCAGTTGGGGCTCAGCAATTTTGGCTTTGCTGTACAGGGAGATGTGTGGAGCCACTGACTACAGGCGTAATGCTATCGGCGGATGTCTCCTGCTGCTGCAGTCTTGGGCATGGTATCGATTGCCCTTTTTATGTCCTGTTGTAAAGAACCCATTCGTATTTCCACTACTTCTGAGGTAATTATAAAACTAATTTTGTATATTAATAATTTTATACAGCGTATAATAATTTTTTTCCCTTGAATATGTGGTCTACTAATAGGAAAAATCATCAGGAGTTACCTGATGATTTAGAAAAAATTAGGGTGCTAATCGATCAGAAAGCTGACACACATGTATGAATTTTAATGTTTAAAAATCGATTTTAGATTATAGTTATATAATTAGATTATTATTTTGATAAAAAATTATATAATATTTGTTTTAGTTTGAATGGGTGCCATATTGTACTGATGATGTGAGGGCGGTGATCCCACCTGAGTTGAGGGCCTATCAGATGTTTAGATGGCGATGATCCCTCTAATCTGTTATGCGACCGTCGAGTGGCACTCTCATTTGATACGAAAACAACACCGGTTTCATCTTCTCGAATTTCACCATCATAATAAACAATAGCAGAAAGTCGCGTCATTCTTTGAGTTTAAAAGTGCGGCAATATTATATTTGCAAAAAAAAAATAACTGAAACAAACCTCATTAAATAAATTATATATGAACGAAAATATAACACAATAAATTTTTTACACATCAACGTAAATAATTTAAATAATATAATTTTATATTATTACCTGTACCGCAAAATTATTTTGACGTATGCTCTTGCTTTTCAATTTTACAAGCACAAAAATTAATTGAAAATAATTAGTATAATATTTTTTTCAAATAATCATAATAAACAATAAGTATAATAAAAAAATTTATAACAAAATTTATAACGAAAAATCGCACGAACTTCTAAATCAAATATGAGAAAATTACCAGTTATTACTCGTTGACGGAATTGTTGTATTAATTTATAAGTTAGAGGAGAGAGATGTGAGGAGATATGAGAAACTTAACAGCGAGCGAAGGGTATTTATAACTATATAAGGCGCGGTACCTGCACAGCGTTATATGTAATTATTCAGATAAAGGTATAGCGCGGACCAGGGTCTGCGCTAAATATAATTCATACTCAAGTATAGCGCTGAGCAGGGACTGCGCTATACCCCTAAATGGCGTATAGCACAAATTAGGGGCCGCGCTATACCCACGTGTAAGTCATGTCAGCGTATAACGCGGTACAGGGGGCTCGCTATACTCCACGTGGCGCCAAATCAGCATATAGTGCAGGACAGGGAGCGCGCTTTACTGCTACGGGTGTTAGATCGAAAAATATAATATAACCGGTGTTAGATCGATAAATATACTAGTCACCGGTGATTTTTCGGGAAAAACGCCCATGAATTACACAATAATGAGGCTTGCCAACTCATCTTTGGCGGCACCCTCTTTTACCCCTTCTAGATACTTTTAAGAAAATTTTGAACTTTCCAAAAAAAGAAATATTTTTCAACAATGAAAGCGTTTTTTTAACCAAATTTTACAGTTTAACACTGGAGTTACCAGCAGAGCCACCGTTTTGTGATAGCATAATGCGTAAATACAGAAAAATGATTAAAAAAAATTAACAGTCTTGAAGTTGAACATGGCAAATAATCCAGAAAGCAAACATGCATCCATCTATTAGCTAATAAAACAATGTAAAACAAATAAAATTGTTTATTTTTGTCTGATTAAGCAGATTATCATCTCTATATATTTGTCCATTGCCATTAGATTCTGCTATACAAAGGTTGCAAGAGAAAGGGACAAGAACAAGTCCAAGTCCAAGGTAAGAATTTTACTCGATTTCGCCTATCAAGTATCCAAAATGATTTCATTTTGAGTTTTCCTATGATGGAATAAATCTGGGTTCTTTTTAGTTTATAAATGTTTTCAAATAGGGCAGTTTATATCAGTCTCGTTTGGTTTCTGTTATTGAATTTGTTTTTGAGAATCAGTTGAAGATTTTAAGACAAAAAGAAAGGTTAGGACTTTTCATTTGAAACCAATGAACCAAGCACTTGGAGGAACATGTTCTTTGTTTGATATTTATGTTGTTTGTTCCACTCAATGGGAACAAAATGTGAATGGATGGGTTGTTGTGAAACATAGTTGTTTTTGGTAGTATTTTTTTGGGCTTGTTGTTTAAATGCTTGATTATTAGTAAGGAATGTCATCTCTTTGATGTTTAAAAATGGTGAAAAAGAACGAATACTGATGTGGTCTTCGTCGTCGAGGAAATGCTTCAGCGTCACAAATTTGTCAAACGGAGTAGAGCTTATCGAAGCGTGATTCCGACTTTTGATCGATTCAGTGATAACAAAAGTTCGGTATTAGGTTGTATTCTGGGTCATTTATGTGTTACCCCCTCATTTAGGGGAAAGTTTTGGAATACACTTCTGCATAGGACTGCAATGGCTTCCTTTGGCTGTTGTATTAATAAAAAACCGATAATTACCAAACCAAGCCTTTTGAATATACTAATATACTTGAACTATGTTGTAGAAGGTGGCTTCTACTTAGAAGATGGAGCATGAATCATGTTTCGTTGGGCAAGATACTTCTTGTCGAGTTAGGATTCGAACGTTGTTCATCTTACAACTATATTACCTGTACTCGGGTGCGAGTGTCGGAAATGGAGTATGTTTTTTTTTTATCCAAGGTTTTTCATGTATTTGGAAGATCATGAAAGGTCAATATCCCATACCTATATGTGGATATGCATAGGAAACAAGTGTCAAACGAGGACACATTGAGAAAAATGAATTGGTGGAGTAAACCGCATGACTATTTGATTACGAGTAGTCCAACTCCCTGGTGGCATACTGGCATGCATGATTATGACTCAACAGAAAATTGGCTTGGATGTTTAGCGAGTCAACAGAGCAGATGGGGTGTCTACATTTTTTCTTGTTTGTCATCTCTGTGTGTCATTGTTTTTTTAATGAATCCACTGCTTCTCAGTAATCTTTCTTCAAACTTTGTATCATACTTCTTCGTTTTGTTTCGAGTTATTTTGTTTTCTCGGCTCCAGGTTATTTGGCATGGTATTTAGTTTTTTTTTTGGGCATTCGGTAGAGAATGATGGAAGTACACCTTCACACTGAAACAGATATCTGTACAGAAACAATGGGATTTTCCCCTGCTTTGATTTCTTGAAAAAAAAATTAATCCCATTTTACATAAAATAATTTTGATCTTTGCTTATTTGCTATTACATCTCCGATAACCTACACGTCTGAGGACGGAAACTGCTACTTTCTAAAGTTAGATTTTGCTCTTGTTTTGTGGTATGATCATATCGAGTCACATAAAGGGCTGGTTGCTTACTGGTATTGCTCGAATCGGGTCCAGCTCATTAATTCCCATCCCAAGGGAGGTTCTTCCAGATCATTAACCATCTCCCAAATATCATCACTGGCTTCGGGTGGATCGGAATGGTCTCCTCCAGAACGTGAAGCACACGAGGAGCATGTTATCTCCATCGTAGAGGGTCTTTCAGAAGATGCTGCAGTCCTGTTGTCACGAACTTGTGTTCCTCGTGACATGGGCTGGAGGGGGCGTCTATCGAATGCTCGAAAGCTGCCCGATACAACATAGACTTGACACAAACTGAATTTGTGTCTTAACTGCATTTAGTAAAATGGTAAAACAAGCAATTGATGATTAGAAATGGAACAAGTTTGTATTGAGATTTGAGTCTGTGTTTACCGTTGGAGTAGTTGTAACTGCTTCTATGGTTCATCTTCCATTTAGTTTTCTTTCCAGCAGGAGCTTTTCCCTTGTAAAAAACCATTGTTTTCTTCATTCCGATCACTCGATCATCCGACGAGTAGACATAACTGGGAGATCCCGTGGCCTTCCAATATCCAGAAGCCGTGGTTCTGTTAGCTCTCCCTCCCCGAGCTTCCCGCTCTAGTCGGTGTGAAGTAAAACCATTGCTCGGTGTCCCCGAACTTGAATTCAGCCTATGTTATACCGCTATATGTATAACACATTTAAACAAATGAAAAACATGTGTGGTATATAATTATAGAACATTTAAACAAATGAAAAACATATGTGTGGTATATAATTATAGAAAATTGTTGAAATTAGAGTCAAATAGTACTATAATATTTGGGTAATTCTGTAATACTACAACATAATTTAAGGCTAAGGAATGACAAATAATGAATGCAACAGAAAATGTTATAAAAATATAATATTTTTTGGTTGAACGTAACCTAAAATATTATTTTTTATTATTTATGATTCAACAAAAAATGTTAGGAATAAGACAACATTTTCAGTAGAACTAAAAAATGTTAAAAAAATTAACATTTTAAATTACCTACAACTTAAAATATCATGATTTTTATAACATTTTAAGTTGTGTATATTCTTTATTGTTCTTTATCTTTAAATTAGGCTCTCGTTTTTTAGACTCTCTCATAATATTTTTAATATTTATAATTAAATTTAGACATAAATTCAAAAAATTTAACTCGAATTATATAAACATGAATCGATTCAAAAAATTTTAAAATTAAGTTTAGCATCAATTTGAATAATTAAAAAAAAATTAGCCTCCTACTTAGGACAACCCCAAAGCGCGTGGATAGTTCCGTTATTTTCAGAACCATCGGCATTGGGCCATACGCTTTCCCACTCCCACCTCTCTCTTCGCTTTAAATCCTCACCCAGCTCACACTCCACCACCCTTTCTAAAAGAAACAAAGCGAAGAAAGGAATTTCCACAAAAACCCATGTCCAAAAAGGTAATTTGGAGTTGGAGATCTGTTCTTGTCGGAGCAGCCTCGGCCATGGCGGCGTCCGCTTTCATCAGCGCCAAACCAAGGGACCCAACTTTCCACCTCATCTCCATCAAACTCACTTCCTTCAAGATCAACCTCTCAAACATCAACGCCGACCTAATCCTCATCGTCCATGTCACCAACCCCAACATCACCCCCATCCATTACTCCTCCACCACCATGTCCATCTTCTACGACGGCTCCTTCCTCGGCTCCGCTCACGTGCAAGCCGGCTCGCAGCCGCCGCGGTCTTGTCGGGTTCTGGAGTTGCCGGCTCGGCTGGACGGGGTGGAGTTGGCTCACCACGCTGGTAAGTTCTTCGCTGACGTGGCGAAAAGAGAAATGGTGCTGGATGCTAAGGTGGAAATCAGCGGTACGGCTAAGGTGGTATGGTGGGATCATAGATTTAAGGTACACGTGGAGTGTCATGTTACGGTTGATCCCATTTTTCTTGATGTGATTGATCAAGAAAATAATTCCCAGCTGGAGATTTTCACTTCTTCATAATTAGTTTCTCTGCTTTTGATTTATAGTAATTTTGTTTTGTTTTTTTTTTTGTGCATAAAATTACGTCAAGTTCTGTTTTCGAAGCATATGCACTGAAAAAACCAAACTTTGGGAATTAAATAATGAAATTCTTACAATTAATGGCTGCCTTCATTGCCATGTGTGTGGTGTAGCTGAGCCCTTGTTTTATATCCAGAGAAGCATGCGGCATCATCGTTTGATATTTATGGCGGTTGCACCTTTCAAAATTATTATTGTCAAAAACAATTATTATGGTCAAAAACAGCGGTATAAAATGAAATCATATTCAGGACGAAAGAAGTATCATATAGGGTGAATTCTATAAATTTAAGAGTATGTGAACTTGTAAAATTTTAGAAAAAAAATATGTTATTTGTCGTGATCGGTTTTTATCCGGGCACGAAATATTTACTTGGCGGGAAAAGTGATGTGAATAAATGGTTTTTAAAATAATTTGGGAGTCGTCATCGGCCTTTTGAGTTAGGTAGGTCGAATACCTAAAAATTATATTTTAAAAGAGTTTTAAGAAAACATCAGTTAAAAGATGAACTGATCTGCGTTTTAATCAAAAATTCGTTCTTTTTAATAATAAAAAGGGATTCGTGATCGGTTACGTTTAGGGAAGGATTAGCACTCCTACAACGCCCAAAATTGGTAATTTTTAATTATAAATTGTCTCTATTATTAGAAATTTAAAAATTCAAAATATATTTAATTTATAATCCTATTATTTCAAAATTATAATTTTGAGAAAAAAAGGAAAAAATAATTTATATATATTTATAAATAAAATATTTATTTATTTAGAAATATCAGAAAAGGACTTCTAGGTGTCTTAAGACAGCTCTTTTCTTCGATATTAATAAATATTAATATAATAATAAAATTATAATTTTTTATAATATTTAATTTTAAAATACCAGAATAGGACATCCAGTTGTATTAAGACTGCCCTTTTCTTCGATATTGAAAATAAATAAATAAATATTAAATATGAAAAATAATTTATGTAAAAAAACATATAAATTATTATTATTATATATATATATTTATATGACTATATATTAATAAATAATATTTAAATATATAAACAAGTAAAATTAAAACGATAAAATACAATTAGAACTATATATTTAAAAGCAGTAAAATAAATGAAAATTTTAAAATTAGTGACTAAATTATAATAAAATTAAAATTAAAAACCTAATTTATAATTAATTTTTAAAATTATAGGGATTAAATATGTTATTTTTCTTATTTATTAATTTAGTGACTAAAATAAAATTATATAAAATTCGGATATTAGATTAAAATAAATTAAAACATATTATTCAGATTAAAATATTAATTATTAAAATTAACGGACTAAATCTGTTATTTACCCTAAATATATTATTTTAATACAAATGACTAAAATAAATAAAATTAAAATTAAAGAACCGAATTAAAAGGATTATAAATTGATTTAGTGACTAAAATGTAAAGTTTACAAATTAGGATGACTACGGAAAGGATTTAACTTTTATTTAATTACACAAATAACCCTCCCCGAAACGGCGTCGTTCGGGAAGGGCTATTTAAAGCTGAAATCGGCTGGCCCGAAGGGCCAGCATTCATTTTTTTTATTCTCTCTCTAACTGAGAGAGAAATGAAATGCTCTCCCCTCTCTCTAGCTTCCCTCATCGGAGGGAAGCCGGTCATCGGGCAGCAGCCGTCTGCCGCCGTAGTTCTCACCGTCGGCCACCGCATCCGGTGGCCGGAAAAATCTATTTTTACACCACCATGTAGATCGGACCGTCCTAATGACGGTTCCGGTGTTCTTTTCTTTTAAAAAGCTCCCAATCGGAGCAAATCTAGGAAAATACCTTCGGTTTTCGAAGGTTGTTGGTGATGTTTGGAGGCCGGTGGTGACTCCGATCACGGCTTTGTCTTCCCCGGTAAGTTCTCTTCGTTTTCTCCTTGTTTTTTTTTCTGTTTGGTTGCTGGTTTGCTTGCTTTTTTCTTGTTTTTTTTTCTTTGCTCTGTTGGTTGTTTTTCTGTGGCCTGTGGGTTCCTTCTTTTTTTGTTTGCAGGGGAACTGAGGCTTTATAGCCTCAGTGTGGCTCTCGTCGGACCGGTCTGAAGGATGAAACGTTCGGTGAGTCACCAAAGCTATGCTGGTGACTCACCATAGAGGCGACGTTGACGGTCGGGGTTGTGGCAGCAGAGCTTCTGGAGGCTTCTTTGGGGCGGCTTCGTGGCATTGGTGGAGTGTAGGCAACGGACGTGTGGCCTTCTGGAACCAACGGCGGTGGCTGAGGACTTCTGGAGGCGGCGGCAGCAGTAGTGCTAGGGTTTAGAAACCCTAGCTGAAACCCTAAATTGGTTTAGGGTTTCTTTTTGGGTCTGGGCCGATTCTGGTTGGGCCTGGGATTTGGGCTTGTAATTTTTTTAATAATAATAATAATATATATAATAATAATAATAATAATAATATAAATAATATTTAAATGGAAAAAAATGAGTATCTTCAACTGCCCCTCTTTGTTTATTCTTGTGTTAATAAGAATATAGCAAAGACGAAAAGATAATAAGTTTTTTTTTCATTTGACTTTACTTGATTATGATGGAGATGTTGATCTAATTCTTCTTTGGGATTAGTTCTTCTCATTATGAACTTTTCCACTGGGGATGATGTTGACCTATTTCCTTCTGTGATAGAGTCATTCAAAAGATTGAATAAGCTCTTCTCATTATGAACTTCTTCTTTCTCCTTCAGATGAGTTCTTCATTATGAACTTTCTCTGGAAAGGTTGATGCTAATCTATCTGCTTCTGTGATAGAATTATGCAAAAGGTTGAATAAGCTCTTCTCATTGTGAACTTTTTCTTCAGATGATGAGTTCTTCTCATTATGAACTCGAACTGGAAAAGCTGATCCATCAAGTGATGGATTTGAGCAAAAGGTTGAACAAATTCTTCTCATTATGAATTTCTTCTTCCTTCTTCAGATGAGTTCTTCTCATTATGAACTTTCTCTGGAAAAGTTGATTCATCGAATGATGAATTCAAGCGAAAAGTTGAACAAGTTCTTCTCATTATGAACTTCTTCTTCCTTCTTCAGATGAGTTCTTCTCATTATGAACTTTTTCTGGAAAAGTTGATCCATCGAATGATGAATTCAAACAAAAAGTTGAACAAGTTCTTCTCATTATGAACTTCTTCTTCCTTCTATCAGATGAGTTCTTCTCATTATGAACTCTTTCTGGCAATGTTAATCCATCAAATAATGAATTTAACAAAAGGTTGAACAAATTCTTCTCATTATGAACTTCTTCTTCCTTCTTCAGATGAGTTCTTCTTATTATGAACTCGAACTGGTAATGCTGATCCATCAATTGATGGATTTGAATCTTTGCTAAAAATCTTTGAAATTCCTGTCAAAATTCAACATGAATGAGAATGAATGAAAATGCACCTATTTTTGCAAATGCTTAAATATGATGCATGAATGTTAAGTTATTTGATTTCAGATTGGTGAACTGAGTATTTCTTCAGTTGTAGAAACCCAATAAATATTTCTTCTTCAAATCAGAGAATCTATCATCTTTGACAAATGTAGATGTAGATATAATGTCACAAAATCTCTTGAGAATAAAACTCAATAGTATAGGCTCTTGAAAAGCTTGCATTCATGCGACATGTTGATTCTGATAACAACTCATCTGATTATGAAGTGATCTTTCAAAATGATTTCGCAGATATCGATAGTTCTTTTAATACCGAGAAAATCATGAATTCTAATTCTGATGAGGAGAATAAACTGTTATACTTGAAAAGAAATGGGATTTTCAGATGCTATGTCTTCAATAGTCATAGAGATATAATCCTGATTCATCAATTGCAGAGTTGACAGATTTTATATGTGCTACTCAAATGGCTAAGGCTGCTGACGCACTTTTTCCGGTAAAAGGTAGGAAGCCATTATGCAATGATCCCAATTACAAGAAAAGGCGAAACTTGGGCTATGATTTTTGGGAAAGAAATAAGTAGAAGAAGCTTGAAAAGAAGCTTCTTAATGAAGACGATCATGCAGTTCATCTTTTAATTCCAATGATTGGTTCTGTGGTTCCTACCAAACCAGATCAGATAACTCAAAGAACACTTCCAGAAGATGCTATTGGGTCTTCTTATTTCTACTATGAGCACATTCATCTTTCAAATCCAATGATTGGTTTTTGTGGTTCATACCAAACCAGATCAGATAAATCAAAGAACACTTCCAGAAGATGCTATGAGCACATTCATCTTCCAAATTTAATGATTGGTTTTTAGGGTTCATATTAAACCAGATCAGATAACTCAAAGAACACTTCCAGAAGATGCTATGAGCACACGGCACTTGTTCCACTTGAATCTGATGAGGTGGAAATGCTTCTAGGTTTCCCTAAAAAACCATATACAAGGATCTGTATAGAGACATGTTCCATGGTGGTATCAATGTCCTGTCTCTTTTCTCTGGGATCAATGATGTAGAGGTTGCCTTTTACTGTCTTGGCATACTTTTGAAAACAGATGTGCAAGAACTGAATGATGATCGGTTGGAGCAATTGATGAGTAGTTTTAATGGACTCAACCTTGTTGTCGGTGGCATCCATTGTAACAACCTTAATGGAAGAAATAAGCATCATTCATAGGCTTAAAGATTTTTGTTGGTGCATTTACTTGTAATGATTGCTACAACGAACTGTCTCTTCTACTGCTCCAATATACCCCATTCTTTTTGAATCATGGAACAGTTTAGTTGACAGTAAAACTTGTCATCTTCAACTTTTGGAATATTATAACCAATGCTACCCTATATAACCAGAGTGCAAATAATAACTTGTTCATGGCTTTCTGATGGTGACGATTTGCTTATTTTGTATTCCATGCCTTTAAAAGTATTAACATAAAGTGATATTCAGAAATCTTTAACTTATTTCAAAATTATGTTAATCCATAAAAGAATAAATTGAATTTTCGAAAATAAATTGAATCTCAAATAAATTGAACTTGAAATAGATAGAATTGTATTCAAAGTTATAGCAAGCATAAGAATGATAAAAATTCAAATGACTCAACAAATTATTAGCATA